AGCACACTCTGATCCTTCACCGATTTGACCTCCGCCTGCCGCCTTGCCACTGGCAAGTGGCCTCGCTTTTCCATTTGACCTTTTATCCTTTGAAACCACCAGTCAGTCATTGAGAACGTCTTCACTCAGCCCTCTATCCTCAACTCATAAACTTATTCCTGTCTGCGACGCTTGTGCCTCTCGAAGGTGTGAACCAATGAGCACGCGGTAACAATCTGGTCATCATATCACACGCACTGCCATCCTTATGGCGCGACGTTACCAGATCGATGAGCTGCTATGGCTGCGCTCATCGCCTCTGGTCACTAAGCCTACACATCTACCACCGGTAGAAGAATGGATGGGGTAAGAACAATATCGCTCGCTTCCAGTGACCGTGCTTATCTCGCTCGCTCCCGTGATACTGACGAGTTCCCTCATTATCAGCCCGATCCCTGACCCAACAACGCAACGAAAACCTACGAATTCTAGAGACCCCACGAATCCAAATGAAACAACGCCTAGAAGACCAAGCCTATTCGAGAATCGCCATATCTCGAGAAACTCAAATTCAGGTAAATGACGCCATTGTCCACTTTTTCATATGCCGAGACTTGCTAACCGGGGGCTGCTGTTGAAGAGGATATTGTTCTCGGACCTCCCAAAACTGCTTTCGCATCTGCATCTCGCATATCCGGTAGCAAAGGCTCGATCGATTTCACGGACCGTCCCTCCCGTCAGGTCGAGTCTGATGAGCCATCAAACGATCGCTTCAATCTGCGAGACAAGTTCTTCAAGGACAGGGAAGCCGGAGATAGAGACTTTGATCGCCGTGATGGTAAACCAACGCCGTTCAACGGTCGTCGTGGGGAAAGAGAAGAATGGAACAACGGACGGCCGCGTCGTACCTTTGGCCAAGAGGATCAGGACAGAAAAACCAGACGCAATGTAGAATTCGACCGTTGGAACCGTGACCAGAGGGAGCAGACTCTTGAGCGAGGAGTGAGAGAGAAAGAAGGACAATTTACTCCTCGGAAAGACGGTACGCCAGGTCGAGCTAGACATGAAGGAAGCTGGTTTCGTGATGACAACGCCCAAGACGGACCAGAGACGGAAGACGATAAAGTCTCAGTACGGAACAGAGATTGGCGCCGAGATAGACATGGTGCAGATCGCGACTGGAGTCGGGGAACCAAGTTTGAACAGGACCCTGAGTGGATGGACACGAATGACAGAGATGAGTCGCGTAAGGTGCATACGCAAGAAGATTTTGAGCGCTGGAAAGAGCGAATGAAGGCCGGCTCTTCGCAAACACAAGTGGAGGAGAAGAAAGAAGTTCCCTTCGAGTCGGTTGCCAGCAGACCTGCGCAGCCTGCGCAGTCTGCGCAACCCGAACACAGACCCACGGATGGCGAAATATTCAGCAGCAACGGTGCGCCTCTCCAGTCGGATTCAGCGATGGAGCGTTTCTTTGGACTCTTAGGAGATGCAAAAGCCGCTCAGGAGGTCATCACACCCGCCTCCATGGAAGTACCTAGCAAGAAAGAGCCAGCACCGGGAAAGCCTGGAAAGTCGTCTCGATTTGCCGGGTTGTTTAGTCCGCCTCCAGGAAGCCCGGCGAAGGAATCGGAGCACCAATTTGGAACCAGATCACCAGCTCCCCAACCTTCAACCAATGATGCGGATCAGGAAGGGTTCCAGCGAATCTTACAAATGCTTGGAGGAAGCAAATCCCGTAATGCGACACCCCAAATCGACAATGCACAGGCCCCTCGCCCAACCATGGTGCAAGCCGAATCAGCTCTGAGTGCTCTTTCTTCTCCTTCTAAGGACTCGGTGAAACGGCAGGAATACATGGCCATGCCGGATGCCCATGTTCACAGCACGGCTCCCCCAATCCAAGAAAACTTGCACGCACATGACTCCCCTTTCAAGGACTCTCAGCCTCGCGATAGAGAGCATCTTCTCCGTTTAATGCAACAGGTTAGAGTGGGTCCGGTCGCTCCACAACCTCACGGACTACAAGGTCAACCTCAAAGTGCCGGTCCAGCACCTGGTCTAATGAATGTGCCCGAAGCATTGTCCCATCCCCCGGGCATCCCGACTGCTCAGAAAGGACACAATTTCTTGGATGACCCCGCAATTGCCAACATGCAGAGACCAGAGCCTGATCAGCTTCGGAGAAGACCTGCCAATGGACCGCCCATGGGTTACTTTGATGAGGTCCCATTTCCCCAAGGCGGTCATATGCCAATCACCCCAGGTGGCTCCAGGCCTCCTCAAGGGCAGGGCCACCCTGGCATGGGTATTCAGCGGCCACCGGGCTTTGAGCATCTTCCACCTCCAGGATGGAATGGCCCTCAGATGCCTCCACAGCAGGGTGTCGCCCCTGGCCCCTTAGTTCCTCCTCCCGGCATTCCAACCCCAACACGAGGTGTCAACCCGAACTTCATGATGCCGCCTATGCATAACAATGTTCCTCCTCCCAATGAACGCCAACTTTTCCCACGCGGTGCGGGCGTCCCCCTTCCGCCAGGGATGATCCCCCCTCCTGGTTACATGAATGTCCCCCCGCCATCCGCTTTCCCGCCTATGCCACATAACAGTGACGCTCTTCTGGGACTTGGTCATGGTGGACAGGGCCCTTTTGAGGGTAACCCCGGTCCACAAGGACCTCCCCCATCCTCCAGACATCTTTTGGACATGTTTGGCCAAGTTGGTGGGCCAGGGCAGTTCAGGTAGACGATACGGGCGCAGACAAGCCATGCCTCAAGCGTGCGCAGGCTGGAATTCCTGACGTCATGATACCCCTTTACTGGAGCATTTTGAGTTGGTTTTGGTTTGTTTGCAATTTCTTAGCTAACTTATGCTGTTTTTTAACCCCGTTTCACTCTTATGCCTCGCAAAGGGGGTATTATGGTCTCACTGGAATGGCTTTGCTCCAATGCTGCGAGGATATTGTTCGAGTATGATTTATGACGAGACGATCGTCCTGTCGACTTCAGTCTCTCGAGGATTGTATGTGTCATGGCAATAGTGGTCGTCATTGTGATCTACTCCTGCTAGTTAGTTCATGAATCTCGATCAACTACATGGACGGCCAGCTTCTATCCAAGGTGCTGTGATTTAGGAAACCGTGTAATTTCTATCGTTATGAGGAGTGTTCTTGAGACTTGGTAACTCGTCGCTCCTGGTAGTATCTTCTGCCGGTTGTTTAGTCTACAGTCGAGGACAGAAAACCGAGGAGAAAATGTGTATCTAAACATCTCTCCTGCTTGAACCCGCTAAACTTCTCCCTTCTCTGACTGTGAATTGCCTGCAATCGGTTTGTCACCCACGCTATGAAAAAGGTACTTTGAACTCTTAAATTGAAAATAGTGTACGAAGTGCTGCACTCGTTCCCAGTGTCCGGATATCGTTACTCCTACCTCCTCCTCTCGCTACTAGTCTTCACAGTCATGTTTACAAGCTCGCATCCTTCTATCTCCTAGCTCAAATCTCTCTTCTCTTCTTTATCTCCTCAGTTAGAAGTAAGAACTTCAAACAGCGTTCTGGCTTGAGAGGCTTACGCTAGATCGTTCACTCGTCTACATTGATTGAATACACAAGCGCTCTGTTTTTGCATTCTAACCAGTATTTGTCTGCTCTTCACTTCTATCATGCCATGTATGATTCAACAGAACAATCTTTCTTCGAGTCGGGTACGTCGCAGCTGGGATATCTCCTGATCCGTTCAAGGCCCGCACAGCGGTCGACTACAGCGGTCACTTCCCCTCAACTGGCAAGATTCTTGACACATAGCACTCTATCCTTTCTTCTTCCATGGGTAAAATCCTGGAGAACGACAGTGTATAGTCTGCATACATGAGATTCTCATCATTGAGCCTTTTCCCGCAAGACCACTAACTTGCCAGTTCTTGCAGGCACCTTCACACACCATGATGGATGAAATAGATTTTGAGCTCTGCCTGAATGTAGACCAAGTGGTGAGTCAATGACAGATATTCATAATATCAAGATCATGCTGCTAACAAGCAACTGACACAGGCAACTGCTTTCCACCGTGTGAAAAGAAAACGTTACTCTGTACACAATAATACAACCGACTCCGCAAACAACATTACACCACGAATCCGATTACACGAGGAGCTCAGACATAATATTGCAGACGAGAGCACGATAACCCCAATTCCACCAGCCAAGAGGGCAAGGATATCGCAAACCGAAGTTTCGTACCGTACACAATCCACGAACGCAAGTAATCGGGGCACAGGGCCGCTGCTAGATTCTAGTCAGCTTTTCAATCATTACACAGGTTTCTTTAACCCTGAGAGCCACAAGCAAGGCCCTGCCAATGCGAATGGCGTCTTGCCTGGTGTGTCTCGCCGGGCTATGAGCGAAGAGACGGACATAGACATGATGTATTTGGGGAGTGAAACGGAGACAGAGGCTGAGACAGAGGCTGAGACAGAGGCGCCTCCTGAGAGGCTCCATGGTCAGTGTCCGATTCATTCGTTTGGTACTTGGTCAAATCCGTCTTTTAGTGGGTTGCTTGGAAGCTTCTCTTCGCAGCGCAACAATTCGACTAGCATGTTTCCCATCTACGAGGATCCGGTGGATATGGAGATTGAGGGTGCCTTCTGTGGAGAGGATTGGTATTCTTCTCCCGACGAAGACAAGGAAAATGTTGAGAACGGCCATGAGCAGGGTAGTATTTTGGAGGAGATGGATTCGAGCTCTGTTGCGGTCTATCAACGGGGTTGATAAATTCATGAGTTACGATGTGCAATGATCTTATGTGAAAGGCAAATGTTGCCGTATTGATATTGTTTGATAACCGTTATGTGTTAGATATGCGGACGAGAACTGAAGTAATAACTAAAAATCTCATATGCTAGCAATATCTGGAATCCCCAAATAACCAAAGAAAAGACCGATAGATAGCGCCAAATAACCAAGCGAATAATAGACCATAAGCGCATTCCGTTCATCCTGGAGCATCGCGTCTCAAGCACTGAGAACTAAGTTGAAAAGCCAATGCCTGTATAGCCTGTATCGCGGTCTTTGCCCTTGTATCGTTTCGCAGTGCCTTGCTGGTTGCCTTTGTTGCCTCTGTTGCCTTTGTTGCCTCTGTTGCCTTTGTCGGCTTGTTTCCCCTTGCCGGGCACCTGGACTCTGATACCACCGTTCTCTTGCACCTCGAATTCTGCGAACATTTCAAGAAGGTCAAGTATCGTGTCTCGTTTCTGCAATGCTTCTTCACCAATAGTGCTGTTGATGTTCGCCGACTTCTTCGTTTGTAGCTGGAGGATATAGTCGTCAATAGTGTTCTGGACGATGACTTTGACAATCTCCACCTCTTTCTCTTGCCCTATTCTGTACAGTCGACAGAATGCCTGAGATAATGAGTGTTAGAAAGAACACTGATCGATCGTTCGATCGACGGATGCATACCTGCTGCTCCATGGCTTCATTCCACCAGAGATCCACAAGGATACATTTGTTTGCCATGGACATATCGAGCCCTGTACCACCGGCCATGAGACTTGCAATCATCACTTTCACTTCTGGCTTCTCCCTGAAGTCCTTCATACTCAGGTCGCGAGTGCCGATTGACATCTTTCCTGTCAACTGTCTTGAAGTTAGCGCCCTGAATGCAGCTCACTGAAATTGGCATATTAAGACACTTACACAACAGTGAGTCCACTTTTCCTTGGAACATATGATGGAAAAAATCCGAACAAAGTCAAGGAATTGCGTGAAAACAACAACTTTGGCGTCTCGATCTTCTCGAATCCACTTAGCGACCAGCTCCCGCACCTTAGCAACCTTTGCACCAGGCATTTCCCCTTGACTGGCTAAAATCCAATCTATCTCCTCGTCTTCATTCTGCTGTTCATCACGCGTTTGCCTTAACCGTGATCGTCGTTGTGCGGGGGTTGCGAACATCCCAGTGCCAAACAATCTGCTTGATTTTTTCTGAGAAGATGGTTTGGTCCTTCTGGTGTTGTTCTGAGTCGAACTAGAAGGGACCGACGGCTCATCGAGTACAATAGGTTCGGCAGTGCCGCAATATGCAGCCTCCGCGATAGGGTTGTTGCATATTTGACATATTGGCTTCCCATCTGCAGAATTGAGACTATTTTTGAGAACAAAATAGCATTCTTCGCAATACAGATGCATGCAGCTGGTGATGATTGGGCCTATTGGAGTTAACTCGCATTTTGCGCAGCTGGTCCTTCTCAACCGCTCAACCCATTGCCCGTTCTCGTGAAGCTCTGTAGTAAACTTGTGAAATTGCTTGACAAGCTCTTCTCTGTCTCCGTTAAGTTCACTCCTTGACTGGCTCGGATCTTCGTGATCTGGATGTGCGGCAGACAGAGAGACACCTTTCTTCAGAGTGACAAACCATTTTGTTATCTGGTTTGAATGATGGTCAGGATCTCTTGTTTCTCTCGCAACCTCAACAAGATCTCTCAAAAGTGACGGGGTCAATAGCGCCTTGACGAGATCTTGAGTCGTGAGCAAATGATTAGAGATCATTCTTAATTTCATCATCATAGTGAGAAAGCTTCGACACTGGGCCAGACGCGGATTCGTGTCATCGCTGAGACCTTCACCAAGAGATTGGTCAGTTCATGCACCTGTTCAAGCAACATGCCAAAGATACGCACCATTGATATTTGAAATGAACAGCTCAAGCACCTCATTGTAAATTCTTCTTTCTACTTCACAGAAATCTACCTTGATGACTGACCTGTCGATATCAGGTAATTTGATGATGGGCAATGAGAAGAGCCGATCAGAATGCGTCCGACGGAGGAGATATGTTCGACATAGATTTCGAAGGCGCCGTCGGGCTTCGTCGTCCTGTGTTTGCATAATTGTCAGGGGTCAATAGAGTAACAACAAGGGGCTACTTATACCTCGCAATAGCGTTTCACGAACTGACTGTAATCATTCGTGTCCGGATACTCCAGGAAATCGAAGTGCGGATAGAACTCAGTAATGAAGCTGCAGTCGTCTATTAGCACTCCGGTATCTCGATGTAAGAAGCAGGATTGCTTACTTAGGCACTGGCGTCCCACTCAAAATCCATTTGTGATGGCCAGTGAGTGCACGGACAGCGATTGACGTAGAGGCAAGATGGTTCTTGATCGAATGCCCCTCTGAATAGACAGAGTCAATACAAATGCAAGTTTGCTGTTTTCAAATTCTTACCGTCAAGGATGATCCTCAAGAACTTGATTTGATGTAATGGCCCAACTTCTTTGGTATAGAGTTCCTTCCACATCTCAATAATCATATTTTCATCGACAACCTCACCTTTGCGCTCCAGCCGTGGATACGAGCGCCTGACCTCGTCATAAGTCGTAATTCTGATTATCGGATGAGCGAGTCTCTAGGGAAATATGTCACAGTATAGCTTACATGACACTGTACTTCTGCAGACCTTGAATAACGTCGAGGGTACGCAGTCTGTTCTGAGCACAGTATGTAATAACCTCACCAACGGCGTCCTTCTCGCAGTGCTTGACGACTTGGTCCTCCCTGTTTATGTTTGTCAGACCATCTTTTATGAAACAAAAACAGCGTTGAGGGGTTATACCAGTGCTTGACGAGATGAGGTGGAACGACTATCAATGTCGTTTTAACGGGATCGTCTGGGTCAATGCATCTTCCATCGACAATATTGGCTAGAGCGCAAGAGTCAACATTCACCGAGTACGACGCTTTGCAAATGCTGCGTACCTAAAGCCTGGATGGTTTTGCCATAACCCATAACGTCGCAAAGAAAACCCCCAAAGGGTGGACTGCTCGAATCCTCCCGATCCCGCTGTTGACATTAGTCGTCTTTCTCAATCTACCCTAGCATTTGCTTACCATGAATGCTACGCCGAGAAGCTATGTCACGCGTTAGTTTGGATAATCAAAGCATGCTGAAGGTGTTCAAACCTGATGATGGAAGAGACTAGTCTTCATGCCCTTGATCCTCCATCCGCCCTTACCATCAGATCTTGCTTTGTTCCTGAACTTTGTGGTTGCGTCGAGGATTGCCTGCTTGTCGGACTTTGCCTGTTGCTGATCGGCAGAAGGGATGCTAGCGACAAGTTCGGTGAGTGCAGTTTCCTTGTTTTTGGAATTAGATATTGGAATTGCTGGAAGCCCAGCGTTTGCTTGAGCGTCTGCGATAACATCGGGATTGAGAAATGCGTCTAGATCAAATTCCGTATCTTTCAAATTGTTCTTGCTTCTGTTCCTGTTGGCTGGAACATCCCCATTGCTGTCATCTACCTTTCGCTTTCGAGAGCTCTTTTTCCCGGGACCTTTCTTCCTTGAAACACGTCCTAAGGCAATTTCGAGACCTAACTGCATACTTCTGCGTCTTTCTGCAGCAGAGACCCTATTCTTCTGCTTTCGTGGGCCTTTTGAAGGTCGATTTGCAGATGCCATATCTGAGCGCTTACCAGTGTCTTCGGGTAATGGTCCAACCGACGAGTCGAGCAGCTCATCATCAGAGAAATCTAGAAAAGTCTCAGGGGTCTGTTCTGCCTGGCGTTGTTCCAGAGCCTTCCGGCTGGCAATCCTCTCCAGGCGCCGAGACTCTTTCTGCTTTGCTTTTTCGTACTGGACTGTTTCCTCGAGGCTCGGATTTTCAAGGGTATTGTACCATGACTGGATAATATCAAACCTACCACTGTCAGTCAAGTGAATATCTGCAACGCTATCATATTGCTTACCCTGTAGAATCTTCGTCCTGGACCTCAGGCCATTCAGACGCGACATTTTCGTCAACCGATCCCTGGATCCCTGTAATAGCAGGGGCGTCAGGGGCTCCAGAGGATTCCGACGATGAGGCCACCACAGGTTGTGGCTCATCCAGATTCATCAGATTCTCAACGGCCGTCGCACCACTCAAAGTTTCAGTTGATACCTGTTCTTGCTCCTGGGGTATGGCTGCGAGACAATTGCTTTCGCTCACATTCCCATTCTGAGAAGCTACAAATTGCTGAAGTTGCCCAATCTTATCATCACCAAGGGTATTGTCCGCCGGCTGGCTCACAAAAAGCTGATTGTCGAAAGGAGCAGGTGCTGTGCGAATTATTGACGGTGCAGGAACCGAGGGACGTGCTGCCGTATCGTTGGGGAGGGAAGTCGTAGGGACATTGTTCCGTAGAGCCAAAACGCTTCGCGCATAGAGAGCTTTCGATACGGTTTGCTGTCGACGTGCATCTATATCCTCTAACTGAGAAAGGTCGATATCTAGTTCAGCTGGTTCTGGTTCTGGCAACATGTTGTCACTGCTTTGTGGAGGATCGAGATCCATGATTGCGAGTAAAGCGGACAGTCACGCCGGATGGTATCAGGAGTAAACGATAGAGAAAAGCAATTATGCTACTTCCAAGGAAGGCCGATAATCAGACGCCACGAAAAGAATTTGAATGACCCCTGTTCTGCTGTGCTTGAAGAAGATAAGTTTGGGAGGAGACAGTTGTTTGTAAGAGGATAACCAGAGCCGATAGGAGTGTAGCGGAAGAAGGCAAGTCTGCTGGTATATCAGAGAGCTAGGAAGTAGAAAGAGAGGGAAATAGTTCGAAGTTAGGCTTTTATTGGTCTGAAGGCTAGGAAGATGAGACCAAGGTGATATGAAAGCCGAGGGAAGGGTGAGGAGCGAATGTAAGGAGATGAGAAGGCGAGAGGATTGAAAGATATACTTTTGAGAACAAGCGAGGTCAAAGTAGATATCTGGTTTCAAACTTAGATTTCGGAGTTCAAGAAGGTGATCAAGTGAGTAGGGTAGTAGAGTAGGAAGATGAGAGAAAGAGATGCAAGGTATAAGTCGAGATGTGCTGGGAGCATTAGCTCGGATGAGGGCAAATGGTGAGGTTAAGTTGATAGTTGGAAGTAGAGATGCAGAGAATGACTTGAGCAAGCGACCTCACAGAAAGCCCTGAAAGTGAGAGGAAGGGAAGATGAACAATCCAAAGGCAGTTCATATGTCATGACAGGCCTCAACAAAGAAGCACGCCTGCCTGATGAGATGGACGTGATTTGTTGCCCGAGGGCATGTAGAGAGTGGCAGACTTGAATCCGATGTTGTATTGGAGAAATGATAAGACCGAACCCAGTAGAGCCCATACACCTTAACCATCAATCTAATACCGAATATCAACAGGAACCCCAGCCGAAAGAGAGAGAAAATCGAATAGTAGAAAAAACAAACAGGTATCATCACTCATGACCTTTTGCTCCATAGATATGCCCGCCATATACATGATAATCTTGACCCCGAAACCGAAGAAGGGAACACTACCGATTAAGCCTCTTCGTAGGCACAGTTCGGATGCAGCACATAGACTGTCCGTTGAACTTGCTCTTGCTGATCACCATCAGCATCCACCAGACCCTCTCCGCGAATTGGCATGAGAATATTTTCCTGTGTACGGAAAATAGTCAGTAAAACAAGGGGTGACAAAGACACTTTCTATCGGTGAAGAACAAACCTTGACCATCCTTTTCAAGACTTTCCCTGCCAGATCGCGTTCACGCTGTAGGTCTTCCTCGTTGTTCAGCTCAGACTCGATTTGCTCCAGGTACCAGACAATCAGATCTTCTTGCTCGACACCTTCGCCCGACCTCGATTCGTCCTCACTCACGCGGCGAACAAACAGGTTCAAGATCTTCATGTATTTGTCGTATGTGATCTTGGTCTTCTGACGCGGTTGTGCTTCCGCATGATCACGCATGGGACTGTCGCCTTCCCTGTCCCGATCAGCCATCTCGTGATCCTCTTCACCAGCACGTCCATTCGCATGAGTGCCTTCGTCGTCGTCAACTTCAACATCATCCTTCTCGACGGTGACGATACTCTGGCGTAGGAGGTCGTAGGCCTCGCGTACAAAGCTCGGTACGATCTCCTCTACACAGTTGGCCTTGGCGACAGCCTCGGAGAGACGAACCAAAGACTCGAGTTGACGGACTGTGATCCGATATGAAGAGCGGCCAATGCCTCCTTGAGCGTCGTTTGCGCGCAGCTCTTTGTACTTCTCAACAAGTAAAGCCTTAGCTTCTTCCGTGAACACGGGTCTGAACGTTCGCGCGAACCGAATGTAGCGCTGCAACTGCTCCGTGCTCAGTTCTGGCTGGACGGCCTCATCACGGTTCATGTGCACGTTGACGATGTGGTCAGCCAAATTACGATCCACCGTTTCATTCGGCTCATCTCGAATCACAAAGAACAAGTCGAATCTGCTCATGATAGGAGCACTGAAGTTGAGATTTGCGCGCAATGTAGCCTTCGGGTTGTACCGACCACCAACAGGATTAGCAGCTGCAAGAATCGACGCACGAGCATTGAGCGTAGTATGAATGCCCGCTTTGGCAATAGAGATAGTTTGTTGTTCCATTGCTTCATGAATGGCAACTTGATCGCTGATATCCATCTTGTCAAACTCGTCGATAGCGCAGATACCGCCTCCGTTCTATTTTGTGTCATTGAGTCAGCATAGGAATAGCGTGTGGACAGCGGGGGCGCGACGTACAGCAAGCATCAGAGCACCGGCTTCAATAGTAAATTCACCAGTCTCGGCATCTTTGACGACAGATGCGGTCAGACCGGCTGCAGATGATGCCTTGCCACTAGTATAAACAGCGCGAGGATGCAAAGAACAGATGTACCTGGAAAAGAACAGGTCAGAACGTCCAAATGGCACAGAGAGCGCGTTGGCATGGTTGGAAGCTTACTTTAAGAACTGACTCTTGCTTGTCGAAGGATCACCAACAATGCAAATATTGATATCACCACGCAATTGCATGTTCTCCTGTTCCGTATGTTTGCTGACACCTCCAATCAATTGCAGAAGCAACCCCTTCTTGATCTGCCGGTGACCGTAGATCATAGGGGCAATTGAATCTACTAATCGAGAGTAGATATACTCAGAGTGAACCAGGTTCTTCAAGTCCTGCACTTCGTAAGGAGTGAAACTCTGAAGGAGAGCCTCCTGGGCTTTGTCCTCGTCGAGTTCTGGTTCATTATTTTGGTTCAATGAAGCCAGGATGTTGTGGGATTGGCCGTTCAACTGCTGATTCGACTGTTGGCCAGGAGTTGTTGTGTCAGGTGTGACCATACAGGCAAGGAATGCCAGTCGATAAGTCAAGTCTCTGACGCCCAGTGACTTGAGACCAGTGACACCTCCTCCGCCGACATCGCCACTCCGAAAAGCCCCGTTATCGCGAACAGCCTCCGGTCGCACACCTGGAAGTCCCAATTGACTGACATCAGGAATTACGATCAGTGTACCAGTGAAGATGCAACGTTCACCAGCCTTGGCACGGTCGACCATCTCACCACGCAAGATCACATCCATGGTGCGGGGCATGCTCCCCGTTGGAATTTCGTGCGATGACTCCTGCAGTTTCACCTTCTGCCAGTCAACGAATGTGCTCTTCCCAATATCCAGGCGCCATCCAGAACGGTTCATGCAAATGTCGTTTGGGCACTGTGTTGGCTCGGTGTATCGGAAGGTCTGTTCCACATTCGAGACAACCGACTTGCACTGCTCACAAACGAAGGTCCCAAGAGAGAGCTCAGGCCGGATCTCAGATGTTCGAGTGACGGTACCGGAAATAGAGAGCAATTTCCCAATTTGGGAGGTACGGAGTTGGCGCAGTCTAGAGACCAAAGGCAGGTTGTAGAATGCCAAAGAAAACAGCTTGTCAGTCTGCTGATGGCGGGTTTTCTCGCGCATATTCCGCTCCAAGTCAGGGTTTTCGGTCACACTTGCATTAGCGGCCATCATGGATGAGCTAGCCTGGGACGAGGCACTGCTGGCTTGACGATGAGAGACGAAGTATTCAGGTTCATATTTTGCAATTAAATTGTGAAGGGCTCTTGTTAGGAAGGGTTGGAATCGAAAGTATTGGTTGGCAATCGCATCCGCCAGAATCTGGTTATTGAGAGAAGTCAAGTGGGTAAAATCGACATAGAGGGTTGAAAGCTCGAATTTCTTCATGCCGTGGATTTGTGCGATATAATATTTGTCACTCAGTATCTCCGACGACGGAGGAGGCGCCGACAACGACGGTTCCTCCACATAGGTCTCGAGCAGTTCCTCAAAGGCCTGCTGTACTTTCTCTCCAGCCAAGTCGACCACTGGGGGAGGCCCAGGAAGGTAGGGATTGCGAAGTCGACTTACAGTCGACCGGCTAGGGTTCACGACTTGGTCATCGGGGAAACCGCCATGTATCTCGCTCAACGGGCCATTACTCTCGGATGGCGGTTGTGGCCGAGAGCTGGGGAGGTGATCTGAATGGAGCCCTTGATTGTCACGGGAGCCAGCTGTCGACCCCAATTCAGATTGAAGTACGGCGTCAAAAAGGGAGGACATTTTGGGCGAGTGCGGACGGCCAAGACAGGGCCGCTATGGGCAGGACAATTGCACAAATCGAGGAACGATTGAGTATTATTATTCAATTGAATAGTTATTTGAGAAACAAGTCCTTTTCAGTATCGTGACGTTGAGCAATGTGTCCGATGAAAATTGATAGCGTCAATAATAATCCCCTCGGAGTTTGACTTTCTTCTCTCAGAGATACGCGTCTAAGACGCGACGCGCAGCGGAGAAATAGATAATGCGATATAGACGCGTAAAGTGGTTTTTGTATGCTTACATCAGCAGCTGTGCACGGATCCTTGACACCACAGACTTATCTGTTGCCTATTCGGGTAATAGGTCCTGACTCCGACTCGGCCATAACCGTGGCGGAACCAAACAGTTGATATCCTTCGGCCAATAGCGCATCAGATCAACAATTATTTCGGCTTTTGACTTTCTGACGAGCCAATCGAAATGTCATCTCAGAATCAACTTGACCTTTCGGGGTTGGACTATCGGGGCTCTTCGTCGACCCTAGTCCCCTCTTATGACCCACTGCCCTGCTGGTCTCTCAACTCCTCTTAGTCTCCTCGTCCATCATAAGAACAGGCAAGTCGGGGTCGACCCTTATCGTCGGGAGCTGATCATCGCCAGGTCGTCCCTACCCTCGACGAAGACTTGATCGGCAGGTTATGATATCGCCTGACTTTTTGGAAGTTGTGGTTATGGGATGATTTTTTTCAACATTACTGTTTCGTGGTGACGGCATCCCGGCAAATCCCAACAATCGCTATGCAGTCATAACATAGTCCTTGCTTGTTAAGTACGTCAGTCGTCAAAAGAGTCTACTGCCACCTGCTAGCTCGTGATGGCTGCCCACACGCACGCTCTGCCCAATCTGTCGCAGTTTGCCCCTCGAACTGGAGTAATTGACACCTCTTGCGAAAGCCAA